ATCAATAAACTTTTCTTTGGACCGATTTATTGATCACACATTAAACGAAATAATCGTTACATGTTTATCACCACATGAGCACGTGTATTCGACTAAATATTGACCTTCCTTTGGGCCGACCAATATTTTCATGAATAACACATGCACAAACAACTTTTAATATTCTAAGTTAGTCAATTTTCACAAGAGAGGTTGCTTTGGCAACATGTTGTTTCAATTAACCAACTTTTGAATATTATATCTCTTAAAAAGAGTCCTTAGTACAAAAATTTGAGAAAGAGAATCACCAATTTTGCATATTTTATTTAGTTTTAAACTTTAGGGGCCTTATGATTAGTAATTCAAAACTTTTAAGGGGCAAAATTAATTAATTCCAAACTTTAGGGGTTAAAATTAATGAACTTGAAACATTAGGGACCATAATATATTAATTCAAAACTTTAGAGGATCAATTAGAACAAATTTAAGACTTTAATGGCAAAGAATTGACCAATTCAAAACTTTAGGGATCAAATTTTGAAAATTTGAAACTTTGGGGTCAATTTAAATTAATTATAAACTTTGGGGGCCAATTTGAATTAATAATTAAAGTTTGAGGGCTTTAATTATAAAATTCAGAACTTTAATTGCCCGAATTAATTAATTTTTAAACTTGAGGGACTGAATTATTAAATTCAAAATGTAAATGCCCAAATTTGAATATACTTTAAATGTTAGGGATTGAAACCTTAATTTTATAACCCTAATTGCAGCCAGAGGCCTCAAATTATCTAATTTTCAAACGAAGCGCCTGACCCCAAATCCATAGAAACCGAAAGCCTAGAAGAAAAAAAGTTTTCTTCTTCTCTTTCCTAATGGCGGGGCACTCTGGTGCCGCCCGGAGTAACGGCGCAGGCATGAGCAGCGCCTGCACTACTGCAGTGCAACAACGAGCGTCGTTGCACCCAGCAATGCCTTATGGCGTTGCCTTTCAACAGTGTGGGGTGCTGCTGCTTGTGTCGTCACCGTGTAACGGCGCCGCTGTCGGCAACTTTAATTTTTTTTAAAGCCCAAAAAAAAATTTGCAACTGTAATTCTAAATCCAAAAAAAAAAACCCATAAAAATCTGTAATTCCTCAATTGAATTATATAATCTGAAATATTCTCAACCATTAATTTAAATAATGAAAGATAATAACGAAAAATATACCAAATAGTTTTCAAATTCAATAAAACTAAATCCAAAACTGTCAAATCTGAAAACTTCATAAAATATTGCAAGAATCAAATAAATTATTCGATTCTCAATTATTCAATATGAAAATGCTCTGATACCACTTGTAGGATAATGTATTATCTTAAACCACAAGATCTTTCATGTTAAATTATCAAGAAATATATAAATTATAGCGGAAGCGTACCTAAATCAGACATAGTTATTTGCAATAATTGAATCCTGCGATATAGTCTTCCAAATCTACGCGCAACCCGTAATTCTCTCTGGCGATGGGAGACAGAATAGAATGAGCAAAAGATACGTATAGTGGTGGCAATAGCTCGGCTCGATCCTTAACCTCACGAGCTCGGCTCGCGCTCGTGGCTCGTTGAAGCTTGGGCTCGGCTCGTTGATTTTGGGTGAGCACGTCATCTTTTTCCTTTTTTTTTTAACAGAGAAAATCACAAATAATGTAATGAAAACACTTTTTAAAAAAAAATAAGAAGTGTTAAAAAAATACAAATAATTTAATGAAGACATCTTTTTCTTTTTTTATTTATATCATATTGTAATATTTTTTATAAAGTATAAAATATTTATATAATGAAAACGAATTGTTTTTTGAAATACATTTACAAAAAATATTTTTTTTTACCTCTCTTTAAAGTAGATAAAATGTAAACCATCTTCCTTTATCCTGGTTTGGGACCAACTACATCAATTTTGAGTAGGCGGAGTTAAAAATTATACACGAACAACTTGTTGTAACGTGTACAATTTTTTAAAGAAAATTAAATTTAACGATTAAAAAATAAGAAAATTTTGATTAATATAATTAAATCAAATATCATTTACCTGACGATATATAATTTCAGTGTATTTATCTTGTAGTCGAAAATGATCGTCCTCCAATTCTTCACGCATATCAAAGCTTCCAAATCATCTTCTTTCTGACATCAATTAAAATCCTTTCACCTGCACTAAAAGCAGACTTCGAAACAACAATGCTAACCGAATGTGTCAGCAGATCTTTTGCAATTGCAGAAACAATTGGACAACGTCTTTCATACTTTCGCCAGAATTCAATTACTTATTCTGAACTTTTTTGAATTGTTCTGTCTTTTGGCATATTATGATTGAAATAATCAATTAATTCGGCAGACATCGCATTTTGAGTTGCGGATGCAAATGTAGATGACATGGCACTAGATGAACACATTGCAGTTGCATCTTATCTAAATGTATTAATGCCTTGAAATAAATTCATTATTTCGACATCATCTTCTTCAATTTTAGCCGAAGGAGTCCCGACTAACATTCGTACTCATTCTTTCCGCATATAAATCATACATTCCACATAATGTTCGCTCTAAATTCTTATAGGTGATAGGTGTATCAAGTATTAATGCTTTATTGATTTGATTATTACGTATTTAGTTCTCGAAATATTATATCGAGGGTCCATTGCGCATGCTAAAGGAAATAACATAGGCATTTCTTTCCAATATTTTCTAAACTTTAATTCCATAGTAATTATAATTTTACTAAAATCAGGATCATTTTTATATTTATAGAATGTTCTTACAATTATATAAAGGCGTTCAAGCACCATACAGCTTGTGGGATAATAAATGCTGGATAAAATCTTTGTGGTCTCATAAAATGATATCAAAAATCGTTTAACTTTCAAAGCTAAAACCCAATAGAATTCATTCAACATACCATCGTCATAAAAGTTAGTTATTAAATATTCAAAACCTTCACATGACTTTAATAGTAAGTAAGTAGAGTTCCATCTATGGCATACGTCGCTAACAAATGTTTTAGTAGTCGTCACCCCTAGTTCGGCACAAAAATCTTCAAATGCTTGTTTTTTGCTAGGAGAGATCGTAATACATATTAATGCATTCCTAATCCTTTGAAATTCATAATTTATATGTTTTAAGCTATCTTGTACAATTAAATTCAAGATATGACACATACAACGAATATGAACAAATACCCACCAAAATCAAGTTGAAGTGTCCTACACAATTTATCAACGACTACCTTATTAACACTAGCATTATCAAAAGTAAAAGACCGAATTTTAGTTTCGCAATTATATTCTCTAACAATACTGATAATAGCATTATATATATTATTAGCATTGTGAGGAAATTTAATAATTCTAAAAGCAATAATTTTTTTATGCATGCACCAAAGTGAGTCTATATAGTGTGCGGTTGCAGCTATATATGCTTTTTTATTAACCTCTTCCCATATATCAAAAGTTAAAGATATAACACCTTCATACTGTTGCAAATCCATAATTAATTGTTGTTTTGAATTATTGAAATATTGTATTGTATCGGCACGAAGAGTGTTTCGACTTATCCCAATGTACCTTGGTTGCAGATATTCTTTCACGAACAAGACGAAGTGTTGGTTGTTTGTAATAGCCAGAGGTAACTCAGTGGTGGCAATAAATTTCACCATTCCGGTTCAAGTATTGTCCTCCGAATACACCGACGTGGATAGGGGTGAAGTCGTAGAACTGGCGTCTGGACTGCCAAATTGCAATTGTGATTGACCAATTGAAAGAAGTCCATGTCTGGCTGCACATGCTTTGTAGTGGCGGTTGAGATGAGTGGTACCAATTCCTTTTTGCCATGCCCAATTTTTGTCGGAAATATTTACATACTGCTTTAGATTTTGCAAAGCCATCCACGACTTTTCCCGTTGAAATCAACTTAAATTGATCCCAACATTTTGCTTGTTTTTTGCCCTTTCGCTTTCCCCTCGCATCTGGGATGTTTAATTCGACATTTTCGTCCTCATGTTCCGCTTCGAAAACATTAATATCATCAAAATCAATTGGATTGTGGCTTCCCTGACCGTGAATGTGAATATCTTCAGGTATGGGTACGTCATTTAGACCGACAAATTCATTTGAAAATTGACTTTGTGACATCCTAGGCGATTCACTATGTAGCCCACATCCCATATCAAATAAGCTCTCAACAAATGAGCGTTGATCCATTTGTTTGATTGTTTATGATGAAATCCAAACATAATAACTAGAAAATATAAATGTAGTGAGATTGTGAGAATTGAGAATTGGATGAATTGAAATTGTAACTGAATAAAATGTAAAAAATGAATATTGTATATTTTGCAACACAAGAGATTAAAAACTCAATAATTGATATAATAAAAGAGAGTTGAGAGAGTTGAGAAATGAGAAGTAGTGATTGAGAGGAGATAATTGATATGAAATAAAAAGGGGAGTTAAGGGGTATTTATAGTAGAAGGGAAAAAAATAAAAAAAACTTCAATGACCAAAACGATCACTTTTTTTAAAAACTGACCGTTTTGGTCACTATACTTCGCGTGGCTCATTATTTATAATGAGCCACGAGCCCTCGTTTCAACTCACGAGTGGCTCATCTTCCTTGGCTCGCCTCCCGTCAAGGCTTGCTCAGATCGGGCTCGGGATTTTTCGAGCCCGAGCTGCCCACGAGCCCTATTTCGGCGAGCTGAGAAGCTTGGCCCTTTTGACATCCCTAGATACGTGTGACTTGGGGACCATAATCGTATTTATATAGCGATACCCTTTGATCTAATTCGGCCCATCATAGAATTAGAATTTAGGCCCGATTTTTACACATATAGAACCCACACTTTAATTGAATACATAAAAGCCCAAAATCGAAGCCTTATGAGATCACTTTAATTGGGCTTAACTGAATTTAATAGCCTTTAATTTAACACACAATTATTCACGCATATAAGCTCATCAATGGATTAAAAATCCTTAAAATTATATGCTGACATCTTGGCTGAAATACATTTAACTTATCATTCATTGAACTTGGGATGCTTCTTGGCCTTTAAGCTTTGTAAAAGTTTCTGCTTTGTTGATAGCTCATTTCTTCTAGGAAGTTATTCTTTTGCTAAACGATGCCTTACAGTCAATGATCTGCCTTTTCACCCTGTGAACACTACAAAATAACATGACTGCTTAATTTTTCCAGTACTTATACTTAAAGGATTTCATATCATTTGTAAAACTTATCTTCTTCTTTGTACAAACTGTCTCTATACTGCAATCTGACATTTAAGTCTGTTAGATGGTAGGCATGGCAGAGGTATTGTGCTCTTTTTGAGGACATGGTGTGTTCTTTTGGATATGATTTCTGTATTGCTTTTACGATAGCTTTCATTATAAACATCGCACTTCATGTGGACAGATTACCATTGCAAGCGATATCAGGAAGATGACAACTGAGAGCCAAATATCTTAAAAAGAAGTTAGAACTATGATTCTAGGAGGAATTCTGATTCGTGACTCTAGACCTCTATGTTTTGGTGATTAATGCTCATCTTATATCTAACTCATTTTTCCCTCTGAACCCATAATTTTTTTCCTTTCCTGATAGTAACTACATCTCATTCATAGCCATACCTTTCTTCTTTTTTCAATTGAATAATGTTATCTAACACTAGCAATGGTAGAACACCAGCTTAGGTGGTTATATTTTAGGATAAAGATATTTGCACAAAATGTTGTTGACAAAATAGTGTACTCACCTCACAAAATTAGCAGATCCCACGTGAATTTAAAAAATGTTGGCTTGTGGTCCCCACCCCCATTGTGAGTAATGAGTATGGGAGTTTGTAAAAAAAAAAATTATACATGTAACATGATCCAACATTTTATAGGTTCAATTACATGAGTCATATGATTTTGCAGACATGATCTTACATTTTATAGGTTCAATTACACGAGTCATATGATTTTGCAGTTTAACGAATCTATCATTTAATGCAGTAATTACCACCTAGTCTAGTATTTAATACCAGTGGTGATGAATAGTATTACTCTTTTCAATTACGCCTTTCGCGTTTTGTATTGAGGAGAATATAAGAATTATAGGAACTAAGGCTGTCAAGAACAATATGGCCCACATGTACGAGGATTGCATTTGTTAACCTCGGAAATTGGATTCTCCACGTGGCCAACCGATAACCACTCCACATATTCCTCCCTGAACACAATCAATGCACGGTTAGATGCACACGGTCGGAACCAGCGTGGGTGACTGCATCCGTATACACTCCGATGGTCAAGTTAGGCTCAGGTGATCGGAATAGTACTAAGATTGTGCAAAATAGTGGGGAGGAGAATATATATATTTGCTTGCTATGGAGTGCTAAGTAGTAAGAGTTTCATTACATTTGCCTCTTGCCAAGCCTTGGGTATTTATAAGTGAGGAGAATCGTTGGATGTGAGACATGTGTATACATCTGATAGTATGAGGCGTCTGCTCATAGGCGTCAATCAGTCGTGTCTATAGAGTGCACGGGTAATTACTTCTCCCGAGTTAAGTTGACATAAAATTGATACGTCACATCAACTAGTCTCATGGAAATGTCAAATCACTTTAAACCTTAGGGGTAGAAAAGATCTTGACAAAGATCTCATTCTGAAATTGGCGGCGGATCCTTTGACAAAGGTCCCCAGAGTGCATTTCGCCTCAGATTCAGGGCGAGGGCACTTCGGTCAGTCCCGCAGAATTGCCTATACCTCGTAGTGTGATAGCTGATTGTCACCATTGGTGAAGTCACTTCGGAACCACTTTGGATAAGTGTTCCACACTTTGCATGAAGTGGTAGTGGACTTTCTGAAATGGTTCAGATAGGGGCGTAACAGTGGTCCCCCAAGTCCAGGTATGAATATTTATATTATGAGTGGACTTGTCTTCCCGATCGGGTATGTATGCCTCGGGATGGGGACTGTGATTTGTGAGAACTTGAGGGTCTATCTTCTGTGTTCGCCAAAGCTTTGATCCTAGGTAGATGTACTAAAACTTCGCTACAACGTGAGGGAAAAATTTATGTGAGATCGAGGTGCTGCCCAACTGGACGATGCATAGGGAGACGGCCAACGCAGCGACCAAGTTGATGATCCACAGGGGACTCCGCGTCAGGTGCGTCTAAACTTTGTAAAGTTGAGTGAGGAGCTCATCTGCACTGGTGAGCTGACCCACAAGGGACGACGCGTTGAGAGATGGCTAAAACTTTGTGAAGCTTAGAAGGGAGCTCAGCGACCGAGGTGATGATCCACAGGGGACTCTGCGTCAGGTGCGTCTAAACTTTGTAAAGTTGAGTGAGGAGCTCATCTACCATCGGTGCGCTGACACATAGGGGACGACGCGTTGGGAGATGGCTAAAACTTTGTAAAGCTTAGGAGAGAACGCAGCGATCGAGGCAATGACTCACAGGGGACTCCGTATCAGGTACGTCTAAACTTTGTAAAGTTGAGTGAGGAGCTCATCTGCTACCGGTAGGCTAACCCATAAGGGACGACGCGTTGGGAGATGGCTAAAACTTTGTAAAGCTTAGGAGGAAACGTAGTGATCGAGGCGATGACCCATAGGGGACTCCGCGTCGGTGCGTCTAAGCTTTGTAAAGTTGAGTGAGGAGCTCGATCCGAGGCAGGCGTATCTGACGTTAAATGATTTGACAACTGTTGCGTATTTCCAAGGTGACAGTTGGGAGCAGCGCCCATTCCCCTAAAAGGCTGCTGCGACTACTTATTGTTGACGGCTGGTGGTGATCGAAGCGACCGTTTTATGCGAGCGTGAGCGTCACAGCAAAATCTTAGGTGTAGATCAAATCTGGTGTTTCATTTCAATGGCCTAGATTAATGATGCGATGGATGGCCTAGATTGATTGCATTTGAATTCAACGATGGAGATTAGTTGGAGCGCTCTATAAAAGGCGGACTTGAGCATTTTTGGAGCTTTTCATTGTTGCGAAAACAGAAAATCCCATTTGCTCTCAAACTCTTTGTGATTTTCGGCATTCTTCAAGCATTTTTGATGAGACATTCGAATTTTCGGCGACCACACACCACTTTTTAACCATTTTCGGCTGGGGAACACTCAAACTCGTAAGTTTCAGTAAATATTTGAGACATTTCCTTTCTAAAAATAGCTTCTGAGGATAGTGCTAGTTCGGGGAAGGGGCTGGAGTTAGTGTGGATGGACGAGCCCATTGTGGCGACCTCCTCCGAAGTAGCCGAAGCGATACTTGGGGGGGAGAACATTTGGAAAAGGTTGGATAGCCCAGTAGATACCTCTGTGCATTGGGGGGCGCCGGATTATCCCTTCAAGCTAAAGGGGGCCGACTTAGAAAGACTTAGGAATGAATATAGGATCCCAGATAGTATAGACCTGATCCTACCCGAACCTGACGAGAGGGCCTGCTACCATAGGCCAGGGTGCGTGGCGATAAGCGAAGTGATCCTTAGGGCCGGTCTTAGGCTTCCAATTCACCTTTTTTTTGGGGATAGTGCTTAGGTCTTATGGCTTAGCACCGACCTAACTGAACTCGAACTCCTAGAGCCAAATGGTGGGCTCCTAAATATTATGGAAAGAGGCGTTACTTGGGGTGGAGATGCCCTTCTCTATTTTTCAGACCCTCTACATTCCCAAAGTAACAGCTGGGACGATAAGACCAGGGGTTGGTATTACCTAACCTCTTGGGGTTCCCACACTCCTTTCGTGGTCGATCTGCCGAGCTCCATCAATGAGTGGAAGAGCTCGTGGTGTTGGGTTGTCGGGAGATGGGACACGATGGAGGGGGACCCCCTGGCACCTTTTACGGTCCCCACGAAGTACTCGTCACTTAGTGAGTATTGTAGCTATGTTTCTTGTTTATTTCTCTTCTATTCGGATCATAACTAACATTTGTGTTCATTTTTTGAAAGCACTCTTCCTCGGTGCGAGCTGTCCTCTGATGATTTCAACATCATCTGTGTCATATATCAGCTGCCTCCGAAGAAGAGGTCGTACCATTGGCTGATCAAAAAGAACATGCATTTAGTAACGCACGACCTGATGGCCTCACAAGGTAATATCTTGAAGCGAATACCTTTTAGCACTTCCGAGCCGTTTACACTTGTACTAATTTACTTGTTTCTTGTAAATAACTTTAATAAGAAGATGCCTCTCCAGGCTCGACTTCAAGACCATACAAAAGATGATGGCTGCAGAGAGGGCCTTGAAGACCTCCTCCTCCGCCTATAAGAAGTAGATGGAGGACTTGGTAGACGCCAGCAAGAGGCTCCAGCCTCCGACGGAGGAGGAGGTGCTTGAGAATCCTGAGGCCAATCTGCTTCGAAAGGGCAAAAAGCCTGCTGCCCCTTCGAAGCGACCAACGATGGTAAGGCCATCCCCCATTTTGAGGCAAACTACAATTCCTATCGGGATGACCATTTTTGAGAAAACGCCTGTGCCATCAGAGGCTTCTCCTGCCCCGGCCACACTAGTAGTTGCTGCTGTGCCTCTCGCCCAGGTACCGGGGTAGCCCAAGAGGAAAAGAGCCCGTCCCTCAAAGGAGATGGACTTCTTGGGCACGAACTCCAAGGAGCCAGTAAAAGAAGTATCGGAGGCTCTCCAAACGGCTGCAGTGACGGTGGTCCACAAGTAGTACTGAACCGAAGAATGGAGGGACCACACCGCCTCCTGCACTGCCGAGGACTTAGTGGCGGCCAATAGTGTCTGTGTGGCCCAGGCTCTGAGCACTAGCATCCAGTTTGAAAGCTTGGTGAAAGACATCAACGCCAAGAGGGAGGACCTCGCCAAGCACCTCAAGGAGGCTGAGGCCCAGCTAGCAGCTGCCAAAGAAGATATAGAGCGGCTGAAGAAGGAGCTCTATGGAGTGGAGTGCCAAGTGGCTGCTATGACCCGAAGAGTGGATTATACCAATGAGCACCACCGGCTCGCCACGGAGGCTCTGGAGGCCTCCAATAAAGAAAAAGCGAAACTGAGGCAGAGAGCGGAGGCTTAATATGAGGAAATAGCCTCCTTGAAGGAGGAATTGAAGTCGGCAGGGGAAGTGGCTGTTCAAAATTTCATTGACCACTTCGAGGAGCATCCCCTGTACGACGACTTTGCAAATTTTTGGGCCTCTTGGAGTGCCCAAGGCTTATTGGGTCGGCTGAAAGAGGTCCACCCCACTATGAACATCTCCTCTTTAGAGGCAGAGTTCGGGGAACCTACTGAAAGCCGGCCTGATAGGCTTGTCGAGTACGCTCTGATAGGGGTGGGATGGGGTAGAGAAGAAAACCAATTTTATTTTTTCCCTTTTTTAAATTTTGATTTTAATGTGAAGTTACCATTTTGCCCTTTTAAAAACTATTAAAATGTGGTCAAAATCAGTTTTTTGGTCATCAAACGGAATTTTGGATGAAAACTGTCCAAAAAGGCCCCATATGCAATGTTTGAAAAGGTTGGAATGACGGCTACAACAAATCAAATGTTTGGGGAAAGTCTGCTAGTGTTGCAAAGGTTTGAGACTTTTGCTGCAATTATCCCTATAATATATAGCCCGCTAGGACCAGCAGCCTACATTTTTCGTCTTGAATGAACAAAGAATTTGTACGCACTATCTATGTTAGGTGACTTCTTAATCTCGCTTCCCTATAATTAGTGTTCTAAAAAACACGTGTAGACAGCAAGAGGCGCTAGCAAAATGCGACGTCATAATAGTAAGCGTGAAATTAAATTGAGCAATAATAAGCATCTTTATTATTTTTTTCTTCATTTTTTAAAAATGTTTTTATTTGATTTTAGTTTCACGTTTTTCTTTGAAAATTGTATAATTAACATATTGTAGAAATTACTAAGTAAATATAGTATTTTATAATTTTAGATGTTTGATGTGTATTATTTTAATTATTAAATGATTTTTTAGAATTATGAAAAATAATAATACATTTTATTATGCCTAAACTTATTCTAGTCTCGTAAAGCTTGAAACTTAATTACGACGTCTAGTCATGTTTACGTTTTTTAGAACAGCGCATATGACAAACTAGCATTTCAAATTATTGAACTACAAATCATATCTACCGCGAACAAACTATTTACGTGCACAATAAATAATAATAATAATATATACAGAAAAAAAATCTCATTTATTTATCAATTCAAATTGAACCCACTATAATAATTTCGAGACGCTAATTATAACATCAAGGACAGCTATTAGTTTTAAAAAAAATCATAATACCCACCTTAATACTTCATTCGTCGTAGTTTGTTTCCTTGGAAGAGATTGAGTTTTCATCAACGGGAGATTCGGAGGGAGACTCCAACTGTTTTTCTACTCTCAAAACCTGCTTTCATTTTTCAGCAATTAGCAATTAAGTACATATATATGATCCTCAATGATTATTATTATTATTATTATTATTATTATTATTATTATTATTATTATTATTATTATTATTATTCACGTTGAGACGAGTGTTATTATAAGTTATATTAAAAGTTGAGAGTGGAACTTTAAAATAAGTCAAAGTTTATACCAAAATTAATGATGTAATTTACATTGGAGATTTGACTTAAGAAAAATATAGGAAGAATAATGTTATTTGCAGTCATTCGCTATCACAGTCGTCATACTTGGTATATATGTCACGATTAATGATTTGATATATAAGGTAAAAAAAAAGTTACGACATTAATACATCGAATAACAAAATGTCATGTAGAATATTACTTAGGACGACTACCGTAATGAAGGACTATAAATAACATTATTCATATAAGAATTTCATATTCTTAAGCAAAAAAATTAATGAAGTAATCAAAGACATAAACTAACCTCATCGAGAAAATTCTTGAGAAATTGGGCAGTCTTAGCTATTTCTTCAGCCAATATTTCAAGAAAATCCATAATTTTTTTGAGAATTCCATCTTCTGGAAGACTCTTGATAATATACTTTAGCATTTTCTCTATTTCCTCTGCCACCTTTTCGACAAAATCCATATACCGTTCTACCATTTCCACTGCATTGATTGATTAATTTGCGGTTATTGCTTGTTTGGTACGAATTAAAATCTGATTTCAATTTAAGTCAAAGTCAAACAATCAATATTAATCACATTTTTCATGGGTCCCACAACTTTTCAATCCCACATTTCAAAAATTTCGATCACGTTCTACTAAAAAATCTCATTTTAATCTTTACAAAACAACCTCGAATTACATTTATGATCTGATAAGAAAGAACATGAATTTTCTTTCACTTTAAGGTTATAGAGGATGTATGGTTTTAAGTTTGTAACTTACTTAAAAGTAATTTCTAAACTTAGTCAAACAAGTCATTAATGTAGAAACACAGTAACCCAACTTATATTTGTTGATTGACGTGACATTTGTTTGACTTTAAATAAGGAGTTGGCTATAGACAAATTTAAGGTTTATAATTCCCTAATTTGAGTTTTTCTTATTAACAAAAGCATTCACATCATCGTTTTGATAATTAGACTATATTTTAATTGCATGAGAGGTTCATAACTTTAAATATTATCACGTTTATATTCAAAACTTTTTTCATTGCATTTTTATGCTCAAATTTACATAAATAATTACTGACTATAATTTGTCTCCATAATTTTCTTTAAAAAAAAAAACTCATTTGCCTATTATATTTTTAATTGAGCAAAACAAATAATAATGCAAAAATGAGATTAAATATTTGGCCCTTATTTTAAAGCACGTTAATAATATTTTTGAAAAAAAAAATATGATTAAGAATAAGATTTTCAAATCAATGAGATGTTAAAAGTAAGAATGTGATGAATAAAAAAGTTTAAAAAATGAATATGATAATGAATAAAGGTCAATGATCATTAATGTAATTAAAATGTGGTGTGTTTATTAAAAAAAAAAAAGGAAAAAAAAAGTGATGTGAATATAACCAAAATCAGTCTAATGTGAATTACGTTGGAGGGCACACGTTTGTATGTCATGATAAGTGAATATTATGCGCTTATTTGGGGATTTACTCGATTATTTATGGCTAATTGAGTGGATATCTATCTAGTTTAGGTGTAAATATATTAGTTGTAGGTAAATTTCAGTTTGAATTCACTTGGATGCAATTGGAGTGAAAATGACATTTTTGAATCATAATTGGAGCCTATTCGAGACAATTGACGATCAATTAGAAGACTCACAAGAACAATTGATCAATTAGAAGACTTACAAGAGCAATTTGAGGTGACCCACAAGTTTCAAGATTTAAATCCAACATTTGCAAAGTTAGGAGACTCAATTGTAAACTTTCATAACTTGCATCATATAGATTGCAAATGATTGAAGAATGTAAAAGACCAAAATTATGAAGATTTAAAGATGGATCCATGTTGCAAATAAGAGAGAACTCAAGGGGAATGAAAGAATGAATCAAATGACCAAAGTGCGAACGGGAAATAAACTACCCCTTGCGATCGCAAGGTGACTATTAGACAGAACAAAAAACAACATCGACATGTATGAATGTAGCCATTTATCCAGTGCCATCGCACAAGGACTATAGCAACAGAATAATTTGTTTCCATCTTTGAATCGACATCTTCTTGGAAACTTATTAGGACACGAATTTTGACTTAATTTTTATCTTATAAATATGTTCTTTCATCTACAACGCAAAGAAGGAAGCTTTTTTTCACACAAAATACATATTTTTAGAAGCCATTAGGGAGAGAGTTAGAAGGCTCTTATGCCTATATTATTAGGGAGAGAGTTAGAAGGCTCTTATGCCTATATTCCATCAAATCATAAAGAGAAGAGACACTCGGAATGAATATAGAACTAAAACATAGTGTGTTTGAAATCCATTTTTCTTAAAAATGAATTTTGTAATGGTGATTTTTTAGAGAATGTCTAGTTAAAAAGTAAGAAAAAATTTATATTTACGTGTAAAATTATTTAATTGGACGAATATGTGATTGAATAAGTTCCACAAAAAATAGGGGCATAAACGAAGTAATCAAATTGAAAAATAATTTACCAATTTAAGGGAAAAATTCTAAAAACCTGACCTAACTACTTACCTTTAGCTTCCAATAAGTGCCTACTTTTGGTGCTCAAATAGGGTAGAACTACTTTGAGCACCATTTCAATAATCCAAATTCTGCTGCATGCATCCCTAATTTTAATATACAATTTAGCGGATTAATTAATTTGAAATTTAAACATAAATTAATAAGAATTAAAAAATCAAAAATAAAACTCACAAGAAATTGAATGGTTGACGTTGACCAGATTCATCTGAAGGCAATGGAGCTTCTTCTGGTATTTTTAAACTTCCATGGACAATGAAGTTCCTACAAATGGAAATAATACAAATCTGATGTTTACCAACACACACACACACACACACACACACATATATATATATATATATATATATATATATATATATATATATATATATATATATA